GAGCAGGGCGCGACGTCGGCCGCCAGCTCGGCCCGGCCCGCCACGCGCGCCGCTGGAGGAGGCAAAACGCGCCGAGCCACGCGCACTGCGGCCCGATCGGCTCTCTTCCCGCCGCTTCCGCAGGGAAAGCTCTTGCCGCGGCCTGAGGAGGCGCTGGGAAGCCCACGCGGACTCACCAAGAACAACGCCGTATGGACAACCGCCTGAGCAGTACGGAAAGGCCTGGCCGCCGGAAGTGATGTCCTTATATACCGTCTCTAGCCAATGGCGGGGAAACCCAAGCGGAAGGGGGCGTGGCCAGAGAGCGCGTCTCTGGGCGGGACTTCCTGTCCGGGACGCGGGCTCCGACGCAGGTGCAGGCGTAGGCGCAGGCGCGGACTTGGGGGCGGGGCGAGCGGGCAGAGGCGGGTGACTGCGGCTTTCCGTGCTTCGCGTGGTTCGCGCGATCCCGCGCCCTTTGGGGCTAGTGTCTGTCCGGGACGCGGGCGTGGGCTCCCGGGATGCCGTCTCTCCGGTAGAGCGGGCGCCTGTCGTTGCTCGAGGCTCGGAGTTCGGTCCAGCACCCTGGAAGACCCAGGAACGAGCGCCGCCGAGCCCCGCAGCTCTTGTCCCGCGGGACGCGGCAAGTTTGCGTGCGCCAGCCCAAGCGTTGGTTTTTGTTTCTTGGAGAACAGCTTAATTCATATTTTTAATATTCGCCCACGGAGTTTTCTTGAAAATAAAGAGTTCACAGATAATATAAAAAAATTTTAACAAAATAATAAGATTGCAATATCTATCAATAGGATGTTAATAAAAATTTATTCTGCCCAATACACTACCAGCCATTTAAAAAGTTAAGATTTTTGATACAAAAAATTCGGAATGAGAGCCATTATGAAAAACTTTGACTCTGCTAACAGATGACTGTAGGCAAGCGGCTAATTTGTTGGTACACATACAGCGGTATCTCCATTAAGAATTAAGAACCGCTTGGAGGCGATTACCCTAACGAAGAAACTTAGAAATCCTTCCCTCATAATCCTAATTAATGTTCAGCCAAGCTGAGAGCCACTGACGCAAGAGTGGGTGGGCTTTTGGGGGAGGGTCGTTTTATATATGAGGAACACAGGTTGGTTGTAAACTGAAACTGCGCGGCAGTGTGCAAAGCCAGCTGTGGGGCGCTCGCTGGTACCCTCCTTTCTGGGCTTTAATATTGACAGAGGAGACAGGAGGCGGCCAAGCTGGCTGGGAAAATGAGCCAGACCTGTCAATGACGAGGTCCCAGGGGAGGACAGGCGCTCCCACCGGATGCGGAGGGCTTTAAAACTGCTGTCCTGAGCGAGGTGGCCAGATAGCCCGCCCCGCGTTTCTCTGCGCAGCATGTACTTCTGTTTTTACTTTTACCCTCTTTTATGTTTGTTCCGCCCAAGTTCGCTCTGCATAGCTGGTTTTTCCCACACCCATTTACCCCTCACTTTTTTGTTTGTTTTTTTTTGTCCGGTACCGGGAATCGAACTCACGACCTCACCTTGCCCTTGCCAGGCAGGCACTGTGCCGCTGAGCTAAATCCCCAGCCCCTACCCCTCACTTTTGAAATAAACTTTCGGCACCGCTTTTGGCTTGTCTCGAGCCATTCTTCGTTCAAAGCAAGAGGGATCTGGACTACTTTTTTGATTGGTGAGTCAGCTGTAAAGAACCACCCTGTACCAAGAGACAAAAAGAAAAAATAAGTTTTTGCAGTTTGGTATATGTGCTCTAGGGGTGTTTGCCACAATGTTCAGAAAAGCAAATTTCAGTCTTTAGAGAAAATGAGACCATTTTCCCTATGTTTGTCACCCTCTGCCCCCCAACAAATGAAGTCTTGCAGGAACTTGTGATTGAAATTCTCCAGCCCAGTCTAAGGAAGGCAGATCTGCATAGAGGTAGAGGAGAACCCTGGTTAGGTTCCCTGGCCTTAGGATGAGGGTCATAGCAGACTGGGAAAGCCCTGAAAGAAGGGCGTGGAGGAGCCTCCTCAGCGCTTTTGGGAGGTAGCAGCTCCACTCAACCTGCCTTCCCTTGTCTCCTTTCCTTCCTCAGGGCTTCCTCTAGCACGAAGGTTCACAAGATCACCCCACTGGTGACTTGGGTACCAGATTAGGACCCTGCTCTGTGCTTCCACACCCTTACCCAGGTTATTTTGAATAAGGTTTTTCAACCTAAAACCTACAGTATGAACTTAACTGTAAACTTAAAATCATTAAGTAAACTTAGTACACGTATTAGGAGTTGAGTTGTGCCCGCCATTCTATGTAGTGTCTGAATGTGACATTTGGCAATAGGATATTACACGTGTAATTTTTCTTTTTTTGGTTTGTTTTTGTTTTTGTACTGGGGATGAAACCTAGAGTTTGCACTGAGCTACATCCCCAGCCTTTTTCAGTATTTTTTAGACAAGATCTCAGCCAGCCCACTGAATTGCTGGGTTTGAACTTGTGGTCTGGGTAGGTCTCCCGGAGTGCTGGGGTAATGGGTGTGCACCATCATACCCAGTTTGCATATGTAACCAAAGTAAAATGAGGTCATCTTAGGTTAGAGTGAGCCCTCACTGAATGACTGGAGTTCTTAAAAGAAGTTTATGGAGACACGGACACAGGGGGAAGGCACTGTGAACATGGGGACATTGTGAACATTAGAGTGATGCACCTACCAACTAGGGATGCCCGGGATTACCAGCAAACAACTATCAGAAAGTGAGCAGACAGGAGTGATTCTCCTCTACGCCTGCAGAGGCACCATGACTCTGATGACCACTGACGTCATCCAGTTTGGGGCTAATTTGTTGGGACAGCCACATGAGATTAATTCAGTGTTCCAGAAACATGACCAAACCCTCACTTCACCACGAACCCAGGAGGCAGGAAGTATTTCTACACCCATGTCCTTGGCACAAGTTCAGTATCATGTCTGACTGAAGAGCTGGCTTTTAGCCTGAGCCACTGTTACAGCTAGATGTCCCCCCAAAGCCTCATGCGCTCACAGGGGGAGCCTGGCAGAGGTGGTTGGATACAGGGTATATACATATGGGCTCAGGGTGTGTGGAAACTAAGCTAGTCCACTGACTGGTTTAGCACAGCCAGGGGTGTGGATAATGGGAAGGCCCACCCTGGGTGTGGGTGGCACCAACCAGCACACCTGCATCCTGGACAGAATATGAAGGGTTGGAGGGCTCGCTGTTTTCTGCCTTCTGCCTGCCATGCGATGGACTGTTCCTTCTCTGCCTGGAGTCAGCTGAACATGAACTGAAACTTCCGTACACCGTGAGCTAAGTAAGACTTTCATCCTTAAACTTTGGGTGCTGGGTGTTTTGTCTCAGCTATGAGAAAGTAACTATGACAGCCACCTAGATCAGAGCCCATGTTCTTAAGCACAAGACCTGCCCTCCCCCACCCACCTACTCCTTGGATAAAGGAACAGCTCTCCCAAAGTTGAAAGAAAATACTTGGGGACCTGGGAGAAGGGTTATCAGTAACAAGAGCTGAAGTGGATGCCGAGAAATTGGACACACCACACACTGCCGCTAGGAATGTAAAGTGATACATGCAGCCTTTGGAGTATTTTCTCAAAGTATTAAAACAAAAACCACCACATAACCCACCTGTTCCACTTTTGGGTATGCAGTGTGATGAAAATATAGGGTGAATATTTAAATGTTAAAAATGTATTACAGTGAAACATTGCCATTGATTCCCCTCAAAATAATCCCCTTCACCTCAAAAGCATCACATCATTCTTGCCACTTTCTAAAGCAGTTCTGCAAGTTCTCGTTTGTGTCTTTACGATGTGTAATAAAAAATATGCTGAACACTGCTACTGAGCACCCACCAAAGGAAAAGCAGACTCACAACACATTACACTGTAGCCTCATTCGACTTCCGGCTCTTCCCCAACATCAAAATGACCATAAACAGTAAATATTTTGAATCAATTCAAGACACTGAGGCAGCCGCAACAGCACAAACTAAAGTTCATAAAAGAGAATGTGCAGAACTGCTTCATAAAGCAGCAAGAACAACAGGATAAGTGTGTTTAAAGCAAGCACAAGTATTTTCGGGGGAAGCAATGGCAATGTTTTTATAGCAATATATTTTTTTTAAACATTCACCATATTTTTTCAGTCACACTGAGTATACTCAAGCATACAACCACAGGCTGGTATGCAAGTATTCGTAGCGTCAGTATTTATGATACGGTCAAAGTGGAAGCAACCCGTAAGCGATGAATGAATATAGTATAGATCACTGTCCGTGTCCTTAGCTTCCAATGGGTATAGTGAACTTTTTTCCTTGTCAGTATTCCTTAATACAGTGCACAACTACGTATATGGCATTTATATTGTATTAAGTATTTATGCAAATAAATGTTCTGCCATTTTTCATAAGGGACTTCAACATCCTTGGATTTTGGTGTCTCTGTGTCTCAGGTATAACTATACATGCATACAATATTTGGAAATAAAAAGGAACAAAGTATTAGATGCCACGTCATGAATGAACCTCAGACACAAGCTAACTAGGAGGCAACAAGACTACAGACTTTATGACTCCACTGTGTAAGTGTCCAAAAAGCAAAATTTAGAGATGTGTGGTAGGCTGGGGGAAGAGTCACTGTGAACAAGGAGCGAGAGAACTTCCCGGGGGCCAATGTGTTCTCAGTCTGACTTACGGTGACGGCTGCGCCAGTCAGTACAGTTACTAAAAATCACTGCACTGTACACTGAAGTGGATGAACTACAGAACATGTAAAATAATGTTGTTTTACTTTTTTAAATACGTTTTTGTTTCTACAGACCTACATAGGTCAATAGCTAGCCACTCTAAAACTACTGTTATTTTCCAATGGAATGATAAAATACACTATTTAGGTTTTCCAAACAACTTTCATTGATAAAGTGCTTTACTTTATGCATCTGAACTTTAGTTGCAAAAAATGCCAGAATAGCTTAGATTTACACAGTGCAGGGGCCAAGATCAAACAATTTTCTTTGTACATTTGGAAGCCAGTAAGTCACTGCTTCCACTCTCCAAAGGCTCCAAGTTGGCCAGGGATCAATTAAATAACAACTTCAGTTCCTCCTCAGGGCAGCACCTCAGACACAGCCTTCGGCCTGTTGACCGTGAACACCACCCAGACAGGGTCCTCCCGGGGCAGTTCCGCAGACAGGAAAGAGGCCGCTTCCCTGGACCGTGACTCCTTGTCCAAGCACATCCCACAGGAGACCCTGCAGTGCAGGTGAGGCTACCTAGCAAAGGCCTTTCTGAAAATGCCTTTCCAGGAGCCCTGTGGGGTGTGTAGACTTTTCTCCCAACTCCCCAAGGTGCTATGTGTACTGGTGACTCCACTTCTGGGAGACCAGAAGGGCTCCAGGCAGATCCTCCGTCTTCCTGTTTCTGCCTGGCTCTCTAGGCAGGACTGCACCTGACTGCAGAGTGTGATGAAGCAACCCTTGGCAGCACATAAGCAGGATGACAGGAAACTCTTCCCTGTCCTCTCCTGTCAGGACTTCAGGCCCATCTTCGCCATCATCTCCTCGTAGACTGTCCATGCCATTGCTGCCATCAGAGTTCTGCGGAGGGCCCGGGGAACACTGCCTTGGAAGAAACCACGCAGCCCGTAGTCCTATGACGAAAATAAATGTGAAACTCCAGAAGCAAAGTAGTAATTCAATTAACTATCCATGTGACACCAGAGAGAGGGGTTCTCTATTACCCCATTTTTTTGAGTCTTAGTCTAAACTTTATGCCAGAGCTATGAAAAATGGTCCAAGAAGATAACAAATAAACTTAAAAAAATTCTTTTTGCATAATTGCTAGGCTTTACATTTATAGCCCTGCTCTATCTAGGAGAATTTCATAACTAAAAAGCTATTTGGGGGACAGGTGATAAGGAATGAACCCAAACTTGTGAGTGCTCAGCATATTTTCTGTCACTGAGATACACCCTCAGCCCTCTGAGTATATGCAAGCTTACTGTGGACAGCTGCACAGTTTGCAAACTACACGGAAGTACGGAGCCACAGTAGCAGATGAAATCCAAAGATTTGTTTGCCAAGCCCTGGATCCAGGATGAAGGAAAAGTTAGTTTGTCATCTGCCTATCAGGAGGAAGCACATTTTTTGGAATTCACTGTATGCTCTCTTGGTGGTCCTACCCTTTAAAAATATATTTATTTAGTTATTTGTTTATTTATTTATTTTTTGGTTTTTGGAGACAGAGTCTTGCTATATGGTCCAGGCTGGGCTTGAACTCCCAGTAATCTTCCTGTGAAAGCAATCACATGTGTGCGACACCACGCTTGGCTCTGGCCCTACCTTTCTAAGCAAGGCAGAACATTTCTTCCTCCCTCATAACCTGGAATGATTTGCAATTTCACATACACTGAAGAACATACTATTATAAAACTGTTATGATTTTAGGGATACAGAGTAAGAAAGTAGATAGTTTCATTAGTGTAAGGAATATTAGATTCACACATTCACATTTAGTTTTAATATGACTATCTGGTTTGTGATAATAGTACTGTGTCCCAAAAGGGTCGATCCTTTTTTAGGTTTAAAAGCACTAGTTTTAAAATATTACATTAGTTGCCCTTAGACCTACAAAACTTTTTAGCTTCAATAACACCATTTGTCCATTTCTACTAGAGGAAACTGCTGGAACAAAATAAAATGTGTGTTTTTTTTCTGATTATCCTTAATTAGCATTTTAGAGCCATCCAGGTTTTCTGATTCAGTAGGTCTGGGGTAAAATCAAGCAATCTGCATGCTGATACACAGGTAATTCTAATGTAGCTGCCTCTTCCCTTAGAAAAACAGGTTCTAGGGGCTGGGGATTTAGCTCGGCGGCAAAAGCGCCTGCCTGGCAAGCGCAAGGTTGTGAGTTCGGTTCCCAGTACCGGAGAAAAACCAAAAAAAAAACCAAAAAAAAAGAAAAACAGGTTCTGTGATTCTAATCTTGGTAACACATTGGGATCACTGAGGACCTTTAAAAGAAACTTTTTTTTTTTTTTTTTTTTTTGGTGATAGGGATCAAACCCAGGGCCTCCCAAATAGTAAGCACACGTTCTACCAGTGGGCTACACCCTTAGCCTTTGAGAAAACTGATATCGAGGTCCCCAACCATCCCAGTTTTGATATGAGAATGGATATCTTTAAAGCTCCCCAAATGATTCTAATATGAGTGACAGACAAGAAATGCTCTAGAGCTTCTTAGCCACGAAGACCAGCACTTATGCTACAGTCTTACTTTGAAAATGAGTGTTACTGCTTGGCCAATCCACTGAAACTTCACTGGGGAGAGCTGCATATGAGTTTTGATAACATCTGCAGGTTGAGTTACCAATGAGGCCAGAATACCAGCAAATATCCCGCAGCTGAAATTCACAATGGGAATGAAGGCTACGTCCAACTGGTCTAGAATAGAACAAATGTAAGCTGCAGTTAGAAATCTCACATTCATCACAGAAAGGTCAATACGAGTTGCCCATCCATTCTTCCCAGAAGTCAGAAAGATGTGGATTCAAAGAATTAAAATTTTAAAAGTGCAATTAGTACACGTGGAATGGATTGATGGAGATAGAAAAGCACCCTTTACAAACCATGATCATGATTCATTAAGGATGCTAGAACATATGGGTGGAAAAAAAACCAGGATTCAAAGATACCCTCCCACAAAGATTCCAGAAAGTTACAAAAGAAAAGCTGAGTTTTCAGGGGAAACATCTGGCAGACACTCCCACAGTATCACGAGCCTCCTTATATAAACACAGCACCAGATATGTAGCCTTCTTGCTAAAAATGCATAACCAAATCTGATTACGTAAACTTATCCGATAAACCGAGATTTAGGTGTAACAACTGGCCTATGCTCTTGGAAATGAACAGAAACTATTGGGATAATGAAAGAAATGAAAGAATGGAGTATAAAGAACTGTATCTATGCTATACTTCCTAACTCTAATAAGGTATAAGGGGCTGCCCTTGTTCTTAGGAAATACACACTGAGGAATTTAAGGGTAAACGGGCATCAGGTCTGCAACTTACTCTCAGAAAAAAGTAGTATACTGTGCTGTTTTTGTGGCTTTTTTGTAACTTTAAAATTATTTCCAAATATCAAATAAAGAAAGTTGAGAATTAAAAATGCACTTCCAGGGTCAGGAATACAGATCAGTAACAGAGCACACAGTGAGGCCTTGGGTCCAATCCATAGCACCAAAAAAACAAACACACACACCTCCACTCTTTCTTTTTGCCACTCTGTACTTTTCTGCTACAAAATAAGGCCCTGCCCTGCAGGTCACACCCACCGTGCTCAGCAGGTGCAGCAAAGCCCTCCAGAACAGCCTGGCTGCAGCTGGGCACCAGTGTTCAGGGGAGTAGTCCAGCTTCCCTAGTTTCCGCCCCACATCTTACAGAATGTAGGCTCCACTTGGATGGCTATTTACTGCTCAAAGATTTTGCCCACAAGGACTCTAAACAACCTTAACTGGGAACATAGCAAGGAAGGTGAAAATACTTTTTTCCTCAAAACACTAAGTTAAGCTGTGCATAGTGGTGTACACCTGTAATCCTAGCACTTGCTCAGGAGGCTGAGGCAGGAGGATCGCCAAGTTTGAGCCCAGCTTGGACTACATAGTGAAACCATGTTTCCAAAGACAGACAAACAAACTAACAATCCATTCTAAGCCCTTGGTGTTTTCCAAACTTAGCTGATGTGGATCACACCAGATGCTTCTTGAAAAATACAGACCCACATTGTACCCCAAAGCTGCTGATAGGCAGAATCTTATGGACAAGTCCTGGGATGTTGCAGGACCTCTGCAAAACAACATTTTATTCTTCACCCAGCCAACCCCCACCCGCAAATCGTAGTGGCACGAGTACTCTTTGCCTTAGGAGGATATAAACTCCAAGGGCAAGAGCCAAGTCTGTCACTTCCACCATCACATCCCACCACCCAGCCCATACACAACTAATAAAAATAAAAGTCTCATCTCCCAGAGAAAACAGAGAACCCAGCGTCTCGCAGACACTGCCCCTTCTTTACCCATACTGTGGAGCACTGTGCTTTTGGTCTGGCTGTAAAACATCAGGTAAATCCCTGAAAAAGGTGCATCGCGAAGCAGAGTGGCTGTCAGGCCACTGAAGAGGCCCCGGTGGCCCTCGCTGCGATAGATGCTCCTCAGGGCTGTGTAGATGCTCTCATAGCCGTACCTCCCGCTCTACAAAAGGAGCACAGATCTAAGTCACCGACAGAGAAGCCCTGCACTTGAGCAACGACCCAACCTACTTCAGGTTAGGCAGCACCCCAAGACACTGTGGATCTAGTTCACACGTGGCTTGGCAAGCCTTCACACGAATCCTCTGACCACATCCCACGCTTATGTCAGTAAGTATAAAAATCAAGAGCTGACACCAGTGGTCACTACTCAAGGAACCACTCGGAAGCACTAAAGCACACCCACCTCATAGCGTGTTTTGATCACTGTGATGGGCGACATGCACACCCCTGCAACAGATCGAGAGCCCATGCCCAGTATGACTGACTCCAGGGCGCTGGGAGGATGGCCTCGCAGGAAATACTGCTTCAGAGAGTAGAGAGTGCCGAAGTAGATCCCAACACCAGGGACACATCTCACGATGGACTGCAGGAAAAGTCAGGAGAAATGACAAAATCAAAGACCAGTGCTGTAAGATTCTGTACGCACTAGGTTTTCCCCAAAGATGCCAAAATGACATGCGTGCAAGTAGTTCACTTAAGGCGTAGCAGTGACACTCATAGACGGGCAGAGAAGGAGGGCAGCCAGGAGAGGGTGCGTCATAAAAGCAGCTGCACCTGTGGGCAGCTTCATCCCTTTGGGGCATTCTGGAACAGCGTGGGGCACAGCTCCACCTGAACGGGGAGTGAGGTGAGGTTCAGATGCCAACCCCCATCTCAGTGGGTGAGGAGTGCTGAGCTGGGAGTGAGCACTAATGCTCTGGCACTTCCAAAAGAGTCCTTAGGGCCAGAAAAAGGCTTTGGGCAAAGACACATAGATGTGGACATGCCAGTCTGCTTTCACTGCAGTGTTAAGAATGAGGACACACTGACCAGTAGGGGTCCAGCCATTTCTGATATACAGACTGTGCCAAATTAAGAAATCATACGCCACGATGCGATATTCCCCTGAACTCTCAAACAGAAGTTTATGCAGTACAAGAGATGAGCAGGAAGTGCAGTCGTCCCACTTCTGAGTGAAGCATCTGTTCCAAGATCTCGAGGGAATTCCTGTAGTACCAAACTCTATGCACAGTTTTTTCTTCCTGTACTGCACACATACATGTGTGATAAAGCTTCATGTATAAACTAGGCACAGGGGCTGGGGATTTAGCTCAGTGGCAAAAGCGCCTGCCTGGCAAGCGCAAGGTCGTGAGTTCGGTTCCCGGTACCAGAGAAAAACCAAAAAAAAAAAAAAAAAAGTAAAATAAACTAGGCACAGTAATGAATAAAAAGGCTACAGGACTACACCACGATAAAGTTATGTGAACGTGGTATCTCTTGCTTTCTCTGCACACTACGCTCTCTTTTCTTCTTGTGGTAATAACGATAAGATGCCTTTGTGCTGACACAGGCGTTGTGATGTAAGATTCGGCGACTCCTGGCCTGACAATGTCAGGAGGAGGATCATCAAGCAATGGTAATGCTGATGACTGGATGGCAAAAGCAGATGATACTGATGGTTGGGAAATCTTAACAGCTGTTTTTTTTTTTTTCTGGAAACCTTTCGGAAGAATATTGTAGTTGGAAGTTTTTATCTCTTTCATCATCAAAGTGTTACTACAGAGGCTGTCACCCCTCGAGGCTCATCTGCGTGACCATGCTGTGTTCTGTCCAAAGATCATATTCTACAATTTTGTTCTTTAATGTAATTTAAAACCCTTCAAGTTTTGATAATGTCTGTATCACTGGCTCTGCTCCAATTTCTTTTCCTTAATTTTCCTCTTCCTCTGTACCTGACTCAACAAGTTGCAATTATTCCTTTGTTCCCACTTCTTCGTGGCCTCAACATGTTCCTCCACTTCATACGCACCCTGCTGCCTCCTCAGCACTTTGCTGAGTGCAGATTCTATGGGGCATGTTCCTGCAGATGAGTCTGGTATCACTGCACCAGAAGACTCGCTTTGGGTGGTATCCTTTCTCAGTTCTGCTGGAAATGCAGCAGCAGCTTCTTCCAGTAGATAGCAGATATAGCTGCTCCAGTAATTTCTCTATTTTTCAGCCCAAACCTACTTCTGAATCTGTGTGACCTTCCCTTCCTTGCTCTAAATGGTGCCACTCATTTCAGAGGATCTTTTGTTGAAGTTTCATATGTAGCTCAGCGCTTTCTGGCATAACGCACTGCCACCAACCAGAACAGGTTCTGTGTTCATGTCTTCAATAAACTTAACGCCCTTCCCACTTTAACTTTGCATTTATCATACAATATTTGTAATTTGAGGTGCAACAGCAAAACTAGCACAAATTCCTTTTTCCTTTATGATTTCACAGATAGAAGATTCATTCTTGCCATAGATCTTAGCACTCTCAATGTGGAACTTTTTTTCCTCCTTGACTTTAGTGACAAACTACTTTTTCACTTAAAAGAAGCACTTCACAGCTTCTCTTTGAGACAGACCAACTGCCAACATCGCTGCTCGTATGTGCTGGCGCTACTATGAAGTAAAATAAGGGTTATCTGAAGCAAACACTGTGATCTTGCAACAGTCAACCCCATAACTGAGATGGCTACAAAGTGGTAATGGGAGGTGGCACACGCAGTAGAGATGTGCTGGACACAGCCATAACTCACATCTTGAAGTGTACCTATGGGGACAGCTTGAAATTTCATCGAACTACTCAGAACAGTGCATCTTTTAAATTTATGAACTGTTTATTTCTGGGATTCTCATTTAATATTCTCAAACTGAGGTGGGCTGGAGGTGGACACCACAGAACACGAGACCATTGATGGGGCACTACTATACTCTAACCACTTCCAGCTGGTGCATCCTAAGAGCTGGTGAGATGGGTGAGAGACGGCTGCTGCAGGACAACCCAGACCCAGGAGGTTGCTTACGGGGGACATCCCTTTCCAAAGGCCCAAAAGACTCTCTGTGCGAACCACCTTCAAGAGTACAGTCAACATCCCAACGCGTCTGGACCTGAAGGCAGATAAGACAGAGACAAGAGGGAAGAACATCACTCAGGCCACTTCCCATTCCAGGACTGCTATTTATTCGTGCTTTGTTCTCTCCCTCTCCCTCCCCCTCCCTTGCTCTTTACAGGAGAGATTGAACCCAGGGCCTGGTGCATGCTAGGAAAGTGCTCTAGTGTTGAGCTACAGCCCCAGCCCTTTATCTTATTTTGAGACTGAGTCTCATTAAGTTGCCAAGGGTGGCTCTGAACTTTCAGTCCTGTTGCCCTAGACTCCTAAGTAACTTGCATTACAGGTGTGTGTTATCATACCTAGTTTGTAGATACTATTGTCTAAAGCACTTCAGAATCTCTTCAATGCATCCTAGAATTATTCTTGGCTTCCCATGTATACATTTCTATAGGCCCATTTACACTCCAAGCCGTGGGACAAACTCCCAGAGTGCTGGGCTCCACACCGGGGCACAAAATAGACACTCAAAACTGACATTGCTTTCAGAAAGCCATTCACTTCCAGGCAGTACAATATTGTAATGTACATACAACATACAATTCCTCATTTACTGACCAACTCATTTAATGACCTAGTCAAAGTTACATAGCTCCATCATTAAACGAGGAATGCCTGTATAGTTATCACAAGCTAGCACAATAAAATGTAAATGCCATCAAAGCAGATCCTACAGAACTGGTTAGCAAAGATCCCATTTAATTAAAGAAATTATCACATATAAAAATACATTCACAGGAAAAAGTACATAGCAGACACAGGGAAGTTGGGTACACTTCCGTTTTCCTCAATGAGCATGCACCTGAACGAAAGCTGATTAACGGGCAAAGATGCCCGGGTAGCCTAAGAAGTTGTAGAACCCAGCTCCTCAATGAAATGCAGGTGGCAGGCCCTACCCGTGGTCTGAGGGCTGGAGAGTCTGCAGGCGTGTTTTAAGGAGATCCAGAGGCTGGAAAAGTAGGGTGGAACAGGTCCCACTGATGGAGCCACACAGGAAAGCCTTTATCACTGGATGTAGCTGAAGGACAAGACAACACTGTTAGCAGCTCTACATGGCAAGCCACATGGCTTTCTCCACACCCAGACCGGGGACTTCCTTTACGAAGACCTTTCAGACACTGATCTGCTAGTGCCTCATCATCTTCACATCTAAGAGAAGAGAAACGTGTAGCTGGGAACAAGGCTGGAATGCTGTTGGGGGGACACGGTGCACTCTAACTGGTGCGTGTCTCTCTGGCATTAGTTCTGCTAATGATTTCGTTTCCACTGAGCCACATATCTATTTCCATGCTGTTTACCACACTTCTCTATCTGTTCTGACTCAAAAGAGCTATGGAAAAGCTCTTTATCTTTGGAAACACAAAATTAAATGAATGTAATGTTAATGCTAACCTGTTGGTCTCCAGGCTCTCTTGGCTACAGAATCTGTAGATATTTATAAGCACAAATCAAAGCAAATGTGATTTTTTGTACTAGGAATTGAACTCAAGACCTTGTGCTTGCCAGACAGGTGCTTGTGCCATTGAACTATATCCCTGGTCCAAAGCAAATGTAATTTTAAGCACAGCACAATGTAAAAGAGAAGTATCACTTCCTCTGTTTAAAATTTTCTCCATCTGCTACAATGATGCATCTCACTGGGATCTAAGCAGACCACAGATGGCTTCTACAGAGCAGGAGCCACCCCTAGGCAGCCCTGGCACTGTCACACATGGGCTTATCCATAGGTACCAATGGGAGGCAGAATGCCTTCAGATTCTAAACCTACCTCCCTCAAACACACCTGAGGCTCCAATACTGGCAGTACTTCCCAGGTCCCTAGAACCCAACAGAACCACAAACAATGGTGTTTACAAAGCATTTTAAAAAGTTCTCTCCTCCAAAGAAACACTTGACAACTTCCATCTACAAAGACATTCTCCCTCAGTAAGTGGCATTTGCACTATTTTTTTTTTAATAATTGACAAACTGTAGTCCTAAAACATTAGTAAGATGAATATAAAGTTTCTCATTGGACACATCACATAATTACTACTGGGAACGTAAAAGTCTATAATCTGCAGTACTTGTTCCACAGAGAAGAGAGATCATCCCAACTTCCATCAAATGAGCAAGTCATAACTAGAATTACAAAACTAAGGGGAGGACCAGATACATTCATATAACCGAATACCGGAGCTTACAACCACATTCGCATGGTCTCTGGTGTATTAACAGGTGGTTTGTGACACAGCAGGTAAAATAAAGCCAAGTGCCACATTCCCAAAGTGCTCTATTCTGTGGCATCTGTGAGCATCTCAAGTCCAACAGGTCCAGAGTGGAAAGGTGGCCGGCAGCTCTCCACACAGCTCTTCCCCAGTCCACACTGGGACATCCTTGCAGCGCCCATGCGTCCTGCCTCCTCAAGCCCTGGGCCTCGCCCCTCTCTGGCATCTTTGCCTAGAAACAAGCTCCAAAGCTCCACTTGTCCAGCCAACACTGTGCTACCTCCACTCCCCCTTTGCCAGCCACTTCTCAGGCCCTCAGTTCACCGTGCAGCTCAACCTCCTCTTCAAAGCAGCTCCGAGGGATCGCCACAGCCCGGAGCACCATGGGCCTCCCTTCCAGCCCATGGTTTTTTGTTTTGTTTTTTGACACAGGGTCTCACTCTATACTCCAGGCTGGTCTCAAACTCACTATGTAGTCCAGAATGGCCTCAAACTCAAGGCAATCCTCCTGCCTCAGCTTCCCAAGGGCTGGGATTACAAGCTTGTGCACCACACCTACCTCCTCTTCTCAGTTTTGGTTTCTCTCTTCTCTTTTCTGGCTGTCCTCCCAGGTCTTCCTTTCCTTGGCTTGTCTCTGAGATGCTACTGCTTCTCTTACATCCTCTGCCTCCAGCCCTCTGGGGCAACCTCACCCACACCCGTGGGGAGCAGCTGACGCTGGAGATCTATCACACATGCGGGGCTAAAGCAAGGCCAGCCCCGAGAGCATGGAGCATGGAGCAAGCAAAGCAAACAAGCTGCTAGGCAGAGGGGTTTCAATTGACAATAACCTCCCAAGTGTATAAATAAACAGGCTGCATTCACTGGGTGTTTCTTTTGATACAGGAAAGAAAACTAAACCAATGCCACTTTGTGTTCTAGTGCCATATATATAT